CAAAAATAGCGCGATTTTCGCCGCTAGCGGCCAAAAACCGTGCGATGTTCGCCGCTGGCGGGCAAAAATCGCGATTTTCGCCGCTACCGGCCAAAAATAGCGCGATTTTCGCCGCTAGCGACCAGAAACTATGCGATTTTTGCAGCTTGCGGGCAAAAATAGCGCGATTTTCGCTGCTGCCGGCCAAAAACCGCGCGATTTTCGCCGCTAGCGCCCAAAAACCATGCGATTTTCGCAGCTGGGGGGCAAAAATCGCGATTTTCGCCGCTCCCGGCCAAAAATAGCGCGATTTTCGCCGCTAGCGGCCAAAAACCGTGCGATTTTCGCAGCTGGCGGGCAAAACTCGCAATTTTCGCCGCTACCGGCCAAAAATCGCGCGATTTTCGCCTCTAGGGGCCAGAAACTGTGCGTTTTTGCAGCTTGCGGGCAAAATAGCGCGATTTTCGCTGCTACTGGCCAAAAACCGCGCGATTTTCGCCGCTAGAGCCCAAAAACTATGCGATTTTCGCAGCTGGCGGGCAAAAATCGCGATTTTCGCCACTACCGGCCAAAAATAGCGCGATTTTCGCTGCTGCCGGCCAAAAACCGCGCGATTTTCGTCGCTAGCGCCCAAAAACCATGCGATTTTCGCAGCTGGGGGGCAAAAATCGCGATTTTCGCCGCTCCCGGCCAAAAATAGCGCGATTTTCGCCGCTAGCGGCCAAAAACCGTGCGATTTTCGCAGCTGGCGGGCAAAACTCGCAATTTTCGCCGCTACCGGCCAAAAATCGCGCGATTTTCGCCTCTAGGGGCCAGAAACTGTGCGTTTTTGCAGCTTGCGGGCAAAATAGCGCGATTTTCGCTGCTACTGGCCAAAAACCGCGCGATTTTCGCCGCTAGAGCCCAAAAACTATGCGATTTTCGCAGCTGGCGGGCAAAAATCGCGATTTTCGCCACTACCGGCCAAAAATAGCGCGATTTTCGCCGCTAGCGGCCAAAAACCGTGCGATTTTCGCAGCTGGCGGGCAAAAATCGCGATTTTTGCCGCTAAAGGCCAAAAATAGCGCGATTTTCGCCGCTAGCGGCCAAAAACCGTGCGAATTTCGCCGCTAGTGGCCAAAAATCGCGCGATTTTCGCCTCTAGCGGCCAGAAACTATGCGATTTTTGCAGCTGGCGGGCAAAAATAGCGCGATTTTTGCCGCTACCGGCCAAAAACCGCGCGATTTTCGCCGCTAGCGGCCAAAAACCATGCGATTTTCGCAGCTTGCGGGCAAAAATCGCGATTTTCGCCGCTACCGGCCAAAAATCGTGCGAATTTCGCCGCTAGCGCCCAAAAACCATGCGATTTTCGCAGCTGGCGGGCAAAAATCGCGATTTTCGCCGCTACCGGCCAAAAATATCGCGATTTTCGCCGCTAGCGGCCAAAAACCGTTCAATTTTCGCCGCTGGCGGGCAAATATCGCGATTTTCGCCGCTACCGGCCAAAAATAGCGCGATTTTCGCCGCTACCGGCCAAAAATAGCGCGATTTTCGCCGCTACCGGCCAAAAATAGCGCGATTTTCGCCGCTACCGGCCAAAAATAGCGCGATTTTCGCCGCTAGCGGCCAAAAACCGTGCGATTTTCGCAGCTGGCGGGCAAAAATCGCGATTTTCGCCGCTACCGGCCAAAAATAGCGCGATTTTCGCCGCTAGCGGCCTGAAACTATGCGATTTTTGCAGCTGGCATGCAAAAATAGCGCGATTTTCGCCGCTACTGGCCAAAAACCGCGCGATTTTCGACACTAGCGGCCAAAAACCATGCGATTTGTGCAGCTGGCGGGCAAAAATCGCGATTTTCGCCGCTAGCGACCAGAAACTATGCGATTTTCGCCGCTAGCGGCCAAAAACTGTGCGATTTTCGCCGCTGGCGGGCAAAAATCGCGATTTTCGCCGCTACCGGCCAAAAATAGCGCGATTTTCGCCGCTAGCGACCAGAAACTATGCGATTTTTGCGGCTGGCGGGCAAAAATAGCGCAATTTTCGCCGCTACGGGCCAAAAACCGCGCGATTTTCGCCGCTACCGGCCAAAAACCATGCGATTTTCGCAGCTTGCGGGCAAAAATTGCGATTTTCGCCGCTACCGGCCAAAAATAGCGCGATTTTCGCCGCTAGCGGCCAAAAACCGTGCGATTTTCGCCGCTGGCGGGCAAAAATCGCGATTTTCGCCGCTACCGGCCAAAAATAGCGCGATTTTCGCCGCTAGCGACCAGAAACTATGCGATTTTTGCAGCTTGCGGGAAAAAATAGCGCGATTTTCGCTGCTGCCGGCCAAAAACCGCGCGATTTTCGCCGCTAGCGCCCAAAAACCATGCGATTTTCGCAGCTGGAGGGCAAAAATCGCGATTTTCGCCGCTCCCGGCCAAAAATAGCGCGATTTTCGCCGCTAGCGGCCAAAAACCGTGCGATTTTCGCAGCTGGCGGGCAAAACTCGCAATTTTCGCCGCTACCGGCCAAAAATCGCGCGATTTTCGCCTCTAGGGGCCAGAAACTGTGCGTTTTTGCAGCTTGCGGGCAAAATAGCGCGATTTTCGCTGCTACTGGCCAAAAACCGCGCGATTTTCGCCGCTAGAGCCCAAAAACTATGCGATTTTCTCAGCTGGCGGGCAAAAATCGCGATTTTCGCCACTACCGGCCAAAAATAGCGCGATTTTCGCCGCTAGCGGCCAAAAACCGTGCGAATTTCGCCGCTAGTGGCCAAAAATCGCGCGATTTTCGCCTCTAGCGGCCAGAAACTATGCGATTTTTTCAGCTGGCGGGCAAAAATAGCGCGATTTTTGCCGCTACCGGCCAAAAACTGCGCGATTTTCGCCGCTAGCGGCCAAAAACCATGCGATTTTCGCAGCTGGCGGGCAAAAATCGCGATTTTCGCCGCTAGCGACCAAAAACCGTGCGATTTTCGCTGCTGGCGGGCAAAATTCGCGATTTTCGCCGCTACCGGCCAAAAATAGCGCGATTTTCGCCGCTAACGGCCAAAAACCATACGATTTTCGCAGCTTGCGGGCAAAAATCGCGATTTTCGCCGCTACCGGCCAAAAATCGTGCGAATTTCGCCGCTAGCGCCCAAAAACCATGCGATTTTCGCAGCTGGCGGGCAAAAATCGCGATTTTCGCCGCTACCGGCCAAAAATCGTGCGAATTTCGCCGCTAGCGCCCAAAAACCATGCGATTTTCGCAGCTGGCGGGCAAAAATCGCGATTTTCGCCGCTACCGGCCAAAAATAGCACGATTTTCGCCGCTAGCGGCCAAAAACCTTGCGAATTTCGCCGCTAGCGTCGAAAAATTGTGCGATTGTCGCCGCTAGCGGCCAGAAACTGCGATTTTTGCAGCTGGCGGGTAAAAATCGCGCGAATTTCGCCGCTACCTGCCAAAAACCGCGCGATTTTCGCCGCTAGCAGCTAAAAACCATGCGATTTTCGCAGCTTGCGGGCAAAAATCGCGATTTTCGCCGCTACCGGCCAAAAATAGCGCGATTTTTGCCGCTAGCGAACAAAAACCGTGCGATTTTCGCCGCTACCGGCCAAAAATAGCGCGATTTTCGCCGCTAGCGGCCAGAAACTATGCGATTTTTGCAGCTTGCGGGCAAAAATAGCGCGATTTTCGCTGCTACCGGCCAAAAACCGGGCGATTTTCGCCGCTAGCGGCCAAAAACCTTGCGATTTTCGCCGCAGGCGGGCAAAATCGCGATTTTCGCCGCTACCAGCCAAAAATAGCGCGATTTTCGCCGCTAGCGGCCAAAAACCGTGCGGTTTTCGCCGCTGGCGGGCAAAAATCGCGATTTTCCCCGCTACCGGCCAAAAATAGCGCGATTTTCGCCGCTAGCGACCAGAAACTATACGATTTTTGCAGCTGGCGGCCAAAAATAGCGCGATTTTCGCCGCTACCGGCCAAAAATAGCGCGATTTTCGCCGCTGGCGGGCAAAAACCGTGCGATTTTCGCCGCTGGCGGGCAAAAATTGGAACCAAAGTTCCTGAAACGACACTGGATGATGTTAAATATTTGCTTTCAACTGACTTAGATATTACTCGTTAATGACAAATTAATGGCTATGGGGTCCACTACCAACTGTAGGATGGGTATAAGAGCCCACAGGATGGCAATGAGGTCCAGTACTGCCCACAGGATGGGTATTGGGTCCAATACCGCCTTGAGTATGAGTATGGGGTCCATTGTCGCTCAGAGGATGGGTATGGAGTCCACTAACGATTAGATGATTGGTATGGGGCCCGCAACCACCCACTAGGTGTGGTATGGGGTTCACTACCAACTATAGGATGGATATGGGGCCCAAGGGGCCCAAGACCGCCCAGAGGATGGGTATGTGGTCCACTACCGCCCACAGGATGAGTTTGGGGTCTACTACCGCCCACATGATGGGAATGGGGTCAACTACAGCTCACGGGTTGGGGTTCACTACCACCCACAGGATGAGTATGGGGTCCACACACCACCCATAGGATGGGTATTGGGGTCCACTACCGCCCACAGGGTGGTCTGGGTGGTTTTATTATAGTTTTCCGGTTTGTCCAACTCAATAATGCCAATTTATACTTTCTAATTTCATTGTACGTGAGTACATATACTATGATCCTCATTGTTACTATAAGTACTGGACTACCAAAACAGGAGGATGGACTGGTCAGTGCCACACTGGTGCTGCCAGTAGTGCAGCTGTCAAATCAAACACATTCATTTGTGATTTATCATTTAGTAATAATAAATAAATAAATAAATAAATAAATAAATAAATAAATAAATGTTTATTCAGGTAAGGTACATACATACAAGAGATTTTACAAAAATTGATAGATTTATAGATAGAGCTAGTACATACAATGCCTAAAGCCACTATTACGCAAAGCGTTTCGGGCATTTATAATAAAGATCTTGATGGGGTAAATAGTAATACCAATAAATTTGCAGATAACATAAAGATAAGACACACAGTAAATTTATAAGAGGATTTTACTGTATTGAAGAGAGATTGATTGATTTTTATTTGTAACTGATTCATACACATCATTACAGTCATAACTGGATTGAACAGTTGAACAGGTGTATAACAGTACAAAATCTTTAGCTTGCAATTAGTTGTAAGAATTATATAAGCAAAACATATTGCATGAAATTACAATGATGACTCACATAAGCTATATATATATATACAGTAACATTAAAGTGATTTGCATAGTCTATGAATAACACAGAACATAATTGTAATATACATAATGATGAGAAAACAATTTTTAAAATTCAAAATGATTTAAACTGACAAATATATAGACTGGATAAATCAAATTTTGATATTAGAGCTTTGCTCTATGAATCGAAGTTATATATCGAGAAGTGTAAGCCAACTTCTCAGTGTATATTCATTAAGTTTACTTTTGTTATGAATCATGTTGAAGACTAAAGTATGCTTGCTGATTGGTTAATAAGCTGACCAACGTTTCTGGACAGAGAAAAAACTGCAACAGAAGCTAAACTACATGACAAGATGAAGGATGAAATGTTCCTCTCAAAAGTTGCTTATCTTATCTTACAGATGGAAATTCCCTGAATTTGTCCCTGTAGGGAAACATGGCTAGCGTTTCTAGCAAGCTAAGACAAAGTTGCTGGTTTCCATCGAAATATCAAAACATCAATTGTAAATAATATAACGTACAAAACAAGTTTTACCATATGAGTCAGTAGCCCCTTTGTATGGCTACTGACTCATATGTATTACCCAGCATGACAAAACTAACAAGGCAGGTAAATTAATATGCATGTAACAATTATGTAATCAGTCTTAATCTAGGTATCCAAAAATTTTTAAAGGTGCACTACTTGAAGAAGCAAGTAAAGATTAACATATGGAACTGCCTACTCGCCAAAGCGGTGAATGGCAAAACTGTTAACTTTTAAGGTACAGCTGGAAGAGATCAAGGCAAATGGGGGTACCTTCGACAAGTTGCCAGCTTCCTGTCCTCGTCGAGGCCACTAGTGTTAGTGGCTCTTAGGTAAACTCGGGAAACTATAGAGTTGAAAACTATACATTTGCCTAGCAAAAAGCATTCAGTAGGGGTATAATAATTGCCAAAATTAGGCTGGAATATCATTACTGCATTTATAAAAAAATTATTGTCCACTGCTGGCAGCTAGTCTTTTGTGCTCTCCATACTCATCCTGCACAAGCTTATTACAGAGGGCCCAAAAGGTTTTAGACCTCAACAAATATTTTACTTTATCTTTTGCAGTTTAACTGCACATGGGTTCAAGCACCTTTCTTCCAGGGGTTTCAAGCACCTTATTTCCATGGATCTAAGCTCCCCCCCCCTTTCTAACATGGGTTGAGCACCTTGCTTCCTTGAGTGAGTAAGCTTCTTGTACTGCTCTCCATCATTTATAGAGCTGAGCAAGCATAATACAGTGCATCTTAAATGCTGTATATAAATTCATTGATATCTTTCCATTACTTAACCATCAAAAAATCCTGATCTCCACATACATTATCCGATTGTAGTGAAGACAGCAAATCTTACCCTTTTATTCGTTTTGAGTTGGGGGGGGGGGGAGATAAAGTACATGACCGTGTTGGTATAGAAGTCCTTTAGGTTTCAAGGGTAACCACAAATTAAGACTACAGTATTTGATAGGGTAATCATAAGAATTATTTATTGGTCATAAAAAATTATATATTGGCAATAATAATAAATATAAATATATGGGGTAAAGATTACAATACCAGAAGAACTCTTATTGAAAATGTGATACATTTACTGAAGTGATCAAGAGATTGTCATACACAATATAAAACATTATAAATACTTACATTTTTGGTTTCCATCCACAGTACTGTATATGAACAATTAAAGAATATATCAACTAACAGTAGAATGTATAAACTAAAAATTCCCATGAACTATATAAATACAACTTTTCAAGTTTTTGGGTGCAAGATATTACATTCCCAAAATGAACCATTATATTCTGATGCTAACTTTCCCTGTCATCCACCATAAATGTGTTGTTTCAACACTTTTTTTTTACTCGAACAAATGCATGACATGGTTTCTACAATATTTCTAAGTAAGACAGCAAACTTAATTGTACATTTTTTTTACATGCATAATTCTTATTGGTAAGCATGATGCTTAAATTTAATCATCGACAATTATGATAAGGAAAGAGTTTCACACTGGTGAAATGACAACTCCATCCAATTTCTTCCAGACAATACACATTCAGCTAACACGAATGAATATGTTTTAAATGCTTTACAGTGGTACAGCAAATCTAGGATTTCAGAAGAGGCTTTGTTTTAACATGCCCTCCTCCTCCTCTTTGTCAATTGTATTGGACTTTGACAACATTTATCCAACTTTTAACATGACATACAAGTATTAATCATACCCCTCCCATGAATTGAGACAAATATAAATATTGTTAACCAAACCACACACTAGAAAATGAAGAGACGACGACGTTTCACGATTGACTTGATAATGGTCCAGGACGGACCGAAACATCGTCGTCTCTTCACTTTCTAGTGTGTGGTCTGGCCAACATTTTTCAGCCATGTTATTGTCACTCCTCATCTGCATAAATATTGTTATTTTGTATACAATAACATGGTTTGAGAGAAGGGAAAACTAAAGAGATAAAAATAGTCTAGGTGGGCATAATTAAAACTTACATAATACTAGAATATCTAATACAGTATCCTGTTCTTTTGAATAATTGTATTAGGCTAAGGAACTTTTTTTCACTCTTATAACAAACCAGCGAATGCATATGTTTGGATAATGAGCTCGGCAGCACTTATTAAATTTATAAAAGCTTATTGAATGTTTTTTATTCTTATTTTTAGCACTAACACTGATCAAATTAAATAATTCCCCTTCATGTATTTATCAATGCACACGGACACATACACTAAACACACGCACACAAACACATCCTGCAGTAAATTTTATGCAAAAAGTTTACTTAAAAAAAATACTAAACCTAGATGTGGTCTTAAAATCAAGCTCTTAGCATTTAAACTGCTAATGACATTCAAAAGTTTCTATTCAATATTTGTTAATGACTTGACAAAGAGCCCATACCATTCTTATTTTACACCAAGTCCAGCATAAAGTATAGGCAATCCTTATATAATGTAGTTTTATGTTCTTGACAGTGGGTATGATAAGGGTGTGTGAATGACGAGAGATCTGATGGGTGTTAGGAGGGAGCCAAATCATGGTTGTCTGCTAGAGTGGACAGGTGAACATGCCATGAGTGTGTTTATATAATAATAATGCAGGCATTTTAAATTATTAGTCAGTAAATAAAAACCATTATATGGCAAAAATGCTCTGTATAAATTTGTGTCGTATAATGGTCCACTGTATAGATGAGATTCAGTATGCCCCAAGGCTTCTTGAATAAAGCAACTGTGTTGTCTGACAAGGTAACTGAATTCTAACATGTGAAATACCTATAATGTTAATGTAATGGCTATATATATAGTACTGTACATAATAATTTTGACTTGCTACTGTTATATTACAAAGACAACAATATAAAAATTCTCTTTGTATACATTTTCTATTGCTTCTAATTCAAAAAGATTGTGTTTTACAAAATATTTTCTGTACATTTTGTAATACTGTACAACTGAATATGTTGGATATTGTTGTTTATGCTTGTAATATTAAGTTTTAATGATATACTGTACTATAGAGCAAAACAACATGCACGATAAACATTACTAATGAACACTTATGTGTCGCAAAAGTAATGTGTGCACTTTTGTCATAAATATACAACATTATCAGATAAAAACTGAACCTGCATAATATCTTCTGAATATTTTACCATGAAAAATCAAACTTGAATATTTCAATGAGTAATGTCAATATTTTAATAGAAGTATGAAACATGAAGATTATTATTTTTTATTTATATATACAAAAGTTCTTACATTCTTGTACAGCCAGTAGTTGGTAGTGGCTGTCTATAAATATCAGTACGTATTTATAATTTAACATTCAGTTTTACAAGGGAAAATAGCATTTTGTGTTTAGCCTTTATATATAAATAGGAAAACAAAGACCTGAGAAAAGATAATCGATGACAGTGGTGTGTGAAGAATTTAGATAATTTACTGTATATATATATATAAACAAGAAAACTGGAATGACTGGATGAACTTGCTGCACACATGAATGTACAAGATTCTGATTACGAGTTATGCTAATAATTATTTTTCAACAGGAAAGGGACTCAAAATCACTCACCTCATGACGATCTCTAGGAATGGAAGGGCCAATAACAATGAAACAAAGTACAGTAGTAGAAAGAGGAAGTAGAAAAACCCACTGACATGGATCAGAAGAGAGCCTATGACGACCAAACCACACACCAGAGAATGAAGAAACGACAATGTTTCAGTCTGTCCTGGACCACTATCAAGTCGTATGTATTTGACGGATCGAAATGTCATCATTTCTCCGTTTTCTGGCGTGTGGCTTGGTCATCATATCTTCAGCCACGTTATTGTGACTCATCGTCTGCAGAAGAGAGGTTAATTTCTTGTTTAAAGTTATTGGAAAATTTCATGTTTGGTAAGAAAAATAAGGATTAAGTAGTTAAAACACTGGTTTAGCTTTGCACAAAGAGACCAATTTGATGATTTGAGTTCAAAAAAATCTGTTATGCATAACAAATTTAGAATGAAGTATTTCCTATTGATGATGCTTCCCAGTGAGTAATTATGATGGTTGTAGAAATCAAAGAAAATATGGCAACTCAACACATATAAATACAAAGTTGTTTTCTTATGTACTAAATTTACCATTTGGGACAGGAAATAAATTGAAAGATCTTATATACAGTACCGAGAATGACTACCCCCCTCAACTGTTAAAACTATACTGTACAGATAATTCTTACAAGCAGTGTAAAAAGCATAAGAGAGGACATAGTAATCACCTCAAACTGTATTTTCACTATACATATATTCATAACAATTTAGGTACATATACAATAAAAAGTAGAAAGTAAAAATTTGGAGAGAACTACACTGGAAGAGCTTTGGAGACTGTAGTTTTTACCATGGAAGAGCATATGCTGGAGAAAAACTTGAGCCCAGTCTGTCCTCCAGGTATATTACTGACAACAAAACACAGTAGTGCCACCAGTTGTATGATAGCAGCTATGGAGGTAAAAAGTGTTGACTGCAAACTGAGTGCAAAGTAGAGTGTTGCAAACAATGAGATAAAGTAAACAGATGTAAACATCAGTCGTTCTGAAGAAAACAGATGTTTTAGGTGATTTATTGGACCCCAAAGGAAAGAGAAACTGAAAAGATAAAAAAAGGAAAACAATTTACTATCTGAACTCTGAACAAACATCCAGAAGTTCACATAAACTATTCATACAATTAAATGAAATTCTTGACTTTAATCTATTCTCTTCTTCCACTAATGATCTCGAGGTTAAATTTAAATGTAAAAATTACAATGAATTTCCAGAGTCTGGTGACTTCAATGAGGATATTTCTGAAACCTGGTTACTCACAAGGGTCTGATAAGTAATTTTTTTTAACATATAGAGTATATGTAACAGAACTACAGATAATTGTTTACCATCTCTCCAGTGTGAATGGTTATCATGTTAACATTACACTTGTCCTTCCATTTAATGTCAGGATTTTATCAAGTTTTCTTTACTGGCACTCTCCACATCCCACCCTTTATTCTTTCCAAAGACAGCCAATATATTCATCTTTTGCCATAACAACCCACATAATGCCAATTGTTAACAATTGTGTGTTTTGTAATACTTGTACATCCTCCAAGCTAAACAGACCATGCCTATGTACGGTACTGTATAAGAAAATTCTTCAGCAGTTATTACTCAAGTTTAATAAAAGAAATTGCATAATTACATATTATCATACAAAAGAATTACCTTAAAACAGAGAACAAGCTGCCTAATGTGAAGAGCAGGGCAAACTTGCGAGCCTTGAATACCAGGAGTGGAAAATACATTGCTGCCAGTGAGAAGCAAATTAAGCCCATCACTACACAGCCCAAGAAGCCTAAAATCCTCTGTTTTCTGCCCTGAAATGCACATATCCAAATATTAATAGTAAGCTGTTCATTAATTGTCCATCATTATTATTACCCTGTACATTTCTTCCACATTACACATTGAAGCAGCATGTAAGAACAATATATATCAAAAGAAGGCACCAGGCCGGGGAGACTATGCAGCACCATCAGTGCCACAGGATATTGAAAAGGCAATAAATATCCCTGAGGATGCCATTACAAGAACAAAAGCACGTAAGGTGAGCATTATCAAAGGTATTCAATTCATTAACGACTTGAATGAGAGAGAAATGACCGAGAGACATTAGGGAAGCATGGCACGCGAATGTCCTGAAAGTCAGGACATTCTACTTTAAGTAAAAAGTAGAACAACCCACCATAAATACTCACATAACAGAACTATTCACTCGACCCACCATGAGAGTGAGAGCAAGACTGAAACATGAAAGTGCCAGCGATGATGTCACTACCCAAAACGCTATGCCCACTATGGTCACCCAAGTTTTTATCACCTTACATATTTTTATATGTAAAGTTTATTGACCCATCACCTCACTTTATTAAAAGCTACAGTATCAATAAAATAATTTTAATGTATAAATTATTCAAAATACAGAAAAAGCTCGCTGTTTCAGCCGTCAGTAACCTAAACCTCTGGGTAATTTCCGCTACAATTGGGTCCGAGTTTTAGTTAACTTAATTCTAACAGAAATCCGAATCACTGGGCTTTGATGTTAGGCTACTGAATGACATATAGCAGCCTTTGTTTATATCACACAATTATATTAAAACAAATGTATTAATAACATCAGGGACCCTAACCTGTCTATAACTGTCCTCCTACAGTCACTGCAAAAGTTTTGCGAGGCTAGCCCCAAGCATTTGGATAGATACTAAATTTTGTTGAGAGACAATCTTGTTTATATACATATTTATTTATATATATGCAAGAAGGTACATTGGGTTTATGAGAGTACATAACCCTGATTTTTTACATTCTTGTAAAGCATAGCATTTCAGGCAAAATATTGCTATAGCTTAGGCTTCAGGCAGAATATTGCTATATTGCTTAGGCTTGCATCGAGGTGCTCCCCCAAGGCCGAGCTACTGACCCTACAGCAGATGCATCCCAGACACCAAGTTGACTAACTCCTGGGGTACCTATTTACTGTTAGATGAACAGAGGCAATTAGGAAACTTGCCCAACATTTCTGTCATGCCCGGAATTCCCAATTGAGTCACGTACTCTCAATCACGTATGTATGACAGAGTCGTGTATGGTCAGAACAGGTAGTACGAGTACTACCAAACCTAACATAACCCAGTCTAACCCATGTTATATGCAGTTTTCACCATTAGAACATGAGCTTTAGGGCTAAAGTAATATTCGCGAGAAAGCACTAAGCCAGTATACCTTGAGGTGGTTACTTTGAGGTACTTTGAGGTGATTTCGGGGCTTAGCGACCCAGCGGCCTGGTCGACCAGGCCTCCTCTATGGTCTATTATGATTAAACACCTGTGAACGATATGACAGTATGCGAGAGCCCTGTGTAACGAGTACCCTGTGTAACGAGCACCCTGTGTAACGAGTACCCTGTGTAACGAGCACCAAGCTTACCAGACTGGGCAGACAAGGGTCCGACTGTGCTGACGAAGACCACGAAGAAGCCGACCCCGTCTCCTCGTCTTGGCTCCCCGCAGTGCCATTTCGTGTGAACCAGGAGCTCAACTTGGGGATCTTGATGTCGGTGATGGTGGTCGGCAGTAGCGGCACCTTGGAGTCCGATTTGGCATCACTCCGAGACAGATATTCCTGCAGCTCTCTGTTCAAGTCTGTCATTTTTGTTTACAAGTCTACGTCACCAGCGACGACTGTGCCATCTGTAGGTGGCTCTACACACGACCGTCCCGTCATAGAGCTCTCTACTCTAGGTCAGCTTGCGGGGGGGGGGGGTGTTGAGCTCATTTTTGTAACTCAAATTCATCAATTTTGTAACTAGTTCATCAAGATTGTAACTTGTTTAGCTAAATGAATTGTGGGGTTCAGTCCCTGAGTCCATTATGTGCCTCTGTAACCCTTTCCACTACCGCCCACAAGATGGGTATGGGGTGCATAATAAATGAACTAAACTAACTGTATATTATATATACGCACTAGAAGGTACATTCGGGTTTGTGGGAGTACATAGCATTGGTATGTACCGCAAGATAACGTAAGATTTTAAGGGATGACAAATGTTAATCTCCTTGTTTAAGAAGCTGTTCACTTGAGACGGTTAAGCAAGTCCCAGCTGTGTCTGGCAACAAGTGACAGAATAAACAACCCAGCCGGGTTTTCTTCCTATTGGGGAGTGTTGTACATGCTGCTATGGCGGTGTGTCCACTCACAGGATGAGTGGCGCTGCCCAATAAACTCGCCCCTTGGGGCAAAATTAAAACAATTAAATGCCCCAGGCAATGGTATAATAGGTAATGCTATATTTTCTAAGAAGACGTCTGCATTTTCGAGTACATTTTTGGATAGGGTGATTGATACTCTTGGGTAAATTGTTTATTTATAATGAATATAAATAAATTATACACCGTAAAATATATAAAATATTATAAGTAAATAAACTGTAAACTAATAAATGATGACATACGGTGTATAATTAATGTAACAGTAATTAGCCTTCCTTGGGAATTAGCCTAATTACAATAATGAATGATCAAAGTTAAGGTATCAAGATCAAGTAAAAAATATAACATGTAAAATAAGTAAGTTAACAAGTAAATTAACTGTGAACAAATAATAATTGATGCTAGATAATGACCACAATAAAGGGTTATTGAGTTAACAGTAATTAGCGAGGGGCTGATAACAAGCCTAGTTAATGTAATGACTTAACAACTGTTTAAGGACATGAATAAGAATTGCGCCACAAGAATAAACAAAGATTACATGTACAGCAAGTGGGTAATAAAGATCCCTATAAAGATGTCAGCGGGGAAGACATACATAAACTTAGTTTTTGGCCGTGAGGGTGAACAAACAACATAGGCGATATAATTTCTTTATTAATTTAGATATTAATACTAAAATATTTGCAACTGCAAGTTGCATTGAATTTTGCAAAAGCAGTTGCTAGTAATTTGCAACTGAAGCTCCTGTTCAATATTAGTAGTTAGGGTAGAGGATGAGTAGTTCATGGATACCGTAACTTTCTTAAACATGTTACACCAAATCTATCTTAAATAATCACTATCATCTTGTACATCTATAAGTGCAAATTCTATCGTGAGCATTACAAAAATGTACATTATTTACAATACAGTAAAATATATAAATAAAATACATGGATCACAAGCAATAGCTGTACCCAGTACGCATGTGGGTATCCTCACACAAGGTCGTACTCAAAGCTGAGATAGTCGAGGAGGTAGTGATCCAGGAACTCTTTCCTGAGGGAGTAGTCGAGGCCCTGTAGGTAGTGGATGGCCAGTCGGTCAGCCTCCGTGCTTCTGCTGTGGACGGGAAATTTCTCGACAATTTTCTCAACACCAAGCCATTTTAACACGTAAGTCGAATCTTCATGCAAGCTCTCAACCTTGCCGATAAAGTCGTAATCGATGCCACAAGGATTACACATCTGGGGACAACATGGAGTGTTTGGTTAATATCAACTTAACTGCCACTGATATTGAATTGAAAGTGAAATAAGTTTATTGAGGTATAACTACACACAAAGGGATGAGGTAGCTCAAGCTATTCTCACCCCGTTCATTACAACGTGTTCATATATAAATACACACATATCACAAGTAGGTAATTATCAAAAGAAGGCACCAAGCCGGGAAGGTTATGTAGCACACACATCACAAACAATCAACCTATTACCGAACATTCTGAGTGATAAACATATACATTTCTTAAAGTGAAATTCACCATTTCTGGTGAATGGAATATACATTTCTGGGTCCGTCTAATTACCACAAGCAGCCACAAACTACACAAACTTCAGAAAGCTTCCTGGCAATACGTTAGTAATGAATAAATATGATATATTAAGTTAGGCTGACCTAACCTAACCTAACTTTAAGGGAGCCGGTCGGCCGAGCGGACAGCACGCGGGACTTGTGATCCTGTGGTCCTGGGTTCGATCCCAGGCGCCGGCGAGAAATAATGGGCAGAGTTTCTTTCACCCTATGCCCCTGTTACCTAGCAGTAAAATAGGTACCTGGGTGTTAGTCAGCTGTCACGGGCTACTTCCTGGGGGTGGAGGCCTGGTCGAGGACCGGGCCGCGGGGACACTAAAAGCCCCGAAATCATCTCAAGATAACCTCAAGATAACCTAACCTATCCTATCCTATCCTATCCTAACCTAACTTAACCAAACCTAACCTAACCTAACCGAAGCTTGGATCGTCGACTTGATTTGGCGTCACCAGCTTTTTATTTTCGTCTAATTTCTTTATAAAAAGATACTTTTTCAGATTAAAATTATGTTTTTTCGTGTTGTACATTCAGCACCAACATTATAATGAGTAAATATATCATATTTATTCATTACTAACGTATTGCCAGGAAGCTTTCTGAAGTTTGTGTAGTTTGTGGTAGCTTGTGGTAATTAGACGGACCGTTGTTGTGGGTTGCAAGGACATTTTTGTCAACATCGGTGTCGGCGTCTGGAGCGCCTCCTGGTGTCAGTTGTTGGAGTTACGGGTGTTCTGTTGTCGTCTTCAGGTATGGTGATGTCGATGTTGGAAAAGGTAGCCAGGGTGGGTAGCGTCCCTGTTTCCGGACTGGTTGTGGGGCCGGCAGCAGCTGGAAGAGCTGGTAGAAGGTCGTCGGGTACGGTCACCGTCGGCAATCCATTTGGAGTGAGAAGCCGGTTGATGGTGTGGACGTTTAGGTTGACGTCGCTGCCAGCCAGTTTGTCGTCGAGGTGTAAAAGTACCGGTAGCAGGGTGATATTGGTGGTAGCTGCAGGCAGGGGTGAGGTCGGCTGATTATGGCGTCCCCAGGGGCCAAGCAGGGGTGAGGTCAGCTTAATGTGGCGTCCCCAGGGACCAGGTAGTGAGGTAGCGGCAGCTTTACCAAGTGTGATCCCGGGCAAGGCCGGGAATGCTGCAGACGTTGGTGGGATGTTTGGTCGAGGTGTGGCGATTGGCAGAGATTTCCATCATCATCATGATTTCTTCCTTCTTACGAGGGCAGTCAGGGGAGACAGCTGTATGTAGGTCGCTGCAGAGGAGACATTTCTGATGTCAGTGTAGGCAGTGTAGTGGTGGTCCTCGGAGCATTTGCTGCATTTCGGTGTGCGCAACATGAACTTGCCAGTGTAGTGAGAGTACTGGTAACACCTAAAGCTGCTGCTGTTGTTGTTTAAGATTCGCTACTTAGAACAAAAAGTTCCAAGTAGCACGGGCTATGGTGAGCCCGTAGTGGACTTACCTGGCACAGGAGCGAAGCTGTGTATGTGTGTGCTGTTCAACGTCAAGAAAACGGTAAATTTAAAGTGCCCTTATCCTAACCTACCAGAGGACCCAAAACAGAACACGGGACAGTACGTCACTTTCGCCAGCCGCTTCCATTTTCTAGTATGACAATTTTTGGCCTTAGGCAACGCATGCGAGCGAAAACCAACGTACTTTGTAGGTCAGGTTGGATTCCGAAGCATGAGAATATGTTGTCAGTGACGAGATCGGCGGTGGCAGCGTTTACGAAAGACATCTACAAGGTCGGGCGCCGGATGTCGTCGCTGGTGATGAGTTTGGTCGTGGTAACCGTTTTGGCAGAGTATTCTGAGTTGATGCTGGTGATGATATCGGTGATGTCGCGGTCCGTGATCCCTGAGCTGACCCTCCTGACCCTTGCTCCAGATGCTACTCCCTCTACGGGTCGTAGTAGCGTTGGGTGTCCTGTGGCGTGGCAGAGAGGACACGACCACTCCCGCTGGCAGCTGAGGTGAGGTAATAGCTAACTGCTATTGATCTTCCAGTTTCCAGGTGATATCTGCACCTGATATGAATTCCCTGTATTAATTAAATCACCCCTTACCAAACCTTGCTTTTCTCTGTGAAGTGTCTTGTGTTACTGTCAAGTGTTTAGAATCAGGAAAAAAAAACTTTGGTAAATACTGGTTCAAGGTTAGTCCCAGAAGTGAGAGGCCAGAGATACAAGGCTAGTCCCAGAACTAAAATAGAAGACCAACGCGCACAGACTAAGGGAATTGTGTATGAGTGCGCGCGCACGTAGGTGGATGAAGACCCAGCTCCTGGACCCACCTGATGGATGGGACGCCAGTGGGAGTCCCAGGGTATGGACTCCTCTTCCTTCTGATGATTTATGAGCTTAACAAAGTCCGAAAAACTCACTCCCTCCTCAACCTGTGTCGGCAGCGTCCTGGAGGGCAAGACACGAGAGTTTTTTCAACTGTGACACAAACCTAAAAACAAATATAAGTAATTCATGATAGGAGTAATTCTGTAGAAAATGTTCTACAGTAGAACCGTCTTTGCTGAATCTTTCACTTGTCGTGTTTCCAACGACAAACATTCCAGAAGCTTGCATAAAATGGGTTGTATTTTGCAAAACAGTCATTAAAGTTGACCAGACCACACACTAGAAGTTGAAGGGACGACGACGTTTCGGTCCGTCCTGGACCATTCATCCGACCGAAACGTCGTCGTCCCTTCAACTTCTAGTGTGTGGTCTGGTCAACATACTTCAGCCACGTTATTGTGACTCATCGCCTGCACAGTCATTAAACTACAAAATTCTAATTTAAAAATATATAATTGTGTTGGCATATTTTACCCAAACTTTTCAGATATTAATTTCTTTATGTAAGGAGAAATTTCCAAATCTTCCATATCGGTGGGATGTTCTAGCTTGTCCCGATAGGCTGACACCACCCTGTGGAGCGGCTCTCGCACGAACAGGAACTTCCTGTAGGAGGCCAGCATGTCCGGCCACACGTCCTCAAACCTGGGCTGCACCAGCATGAACTGCTGCGTCAGGAGATGAGTGGTGTGCCTGGGGGAAATGTTGACGCTAGTATTAGTGGCTGCTCGTCACTCATCATGCTCGTCATTCATCATGCTCGTCACTCATCATGCTCGTCACTCATCATGCTCGTCATTCATCATGCTCGTCACTCATCATGCTCGTCATTCATCATGCTCGTTATTCATCATGCTCGTTATTCATCATGCTCGTCACTCATCATGCTCGTCACTCATCATGCTCGTCATTGATCATGCTCGTCACTCATCATGCTCGTCACTCATCATGCTCGTCACTCATCATGCTCGTCACTCATCATGCTCGTCACTCATCATGCTCGTCACTCATCATGCTCGTCACTCATCATGCTCGTTATTCATCATGCTCGTCACTCATCATGCTCGTCACTCATCATGCTCGTCATTCATCATGCTCGTCACTCATCATGCTCTTTACTCATCATGCTCGTCATTCATCATGCTCGTCACTCATCATGCTCGTCACTCATCATGCTCGTCACTCATCATGCTCGTCACTCATCATGCTCGTCACTCATCATGCTCGTCACTCATCAAACGAGACTCCTTCACAGGAGTTTTATAGTTTCATTTTAGGACGAGAACCTTTTTTTCTCGACACCTTCTGCGTTATTGGGTACAACCAGGAAGATCTTGGGGTCGTTCCCTGCCGAGGGTACAAAATTACTCCAGTTTTCACAAGTCCCTGAGATAAGTCCAAATTTGAGATGTAGAAATTGATACACACACACACACACACACACACACACACACACACACACACACACACACACACACACACACACACACACACACACACACACACACAAAAAAAAAAAAAAAAAAAAAAAAAAAAAAAAAAAAAAAAGGCTTACAGCTACTTCAGAACATCTAATCTGGAAACATTTATCGCCGTCCTACAATTATCCCCCGAGAGACCCGGGTGTAATCCCTGGCCAGGACACAAACAGTTGGCCACGTTCCCTTTCACCTGACACCTCTGTTCACCTAGCAGCAATACATATTTTCGAAGTTAGGCAACTCTTCTCGGGGTCGGGGGGGGGGGGGGGAAGAGTTGCATCCTCTGGAAAGTCAGTACTTTGCCTAAGGGAGATTTAGATGTCAGTCTTAATCCGTTGTTATCCTCATAGCGGGCACTACATCACATGTTGACCTCAGGAGTTGCCAGTTGCCGTCAGCTGGTGAGGTTACATCTTGCGTGGCAGCACCTAGAGGGGTGAGGAGGAGGAGCCTACGAAGACTAGGAAAACACTACTGCTTCTCTTATAATCCAAGAGGCTCACGAGTAATGGGACTTGGACTGGTCCGTATACAACACCGGACTCGCCTCTTGAAGGTCGGAGTTTGCTGCCCCCGATGGTCCAAATGGGCTAGGAATCTTTCTTTTATTCATTCCTATTCCAATTCCTATTCCAGCTCCTATTCCAGCTCCTATTCCGGCCTCATATCCCTGCCAAGGGCTGTATGAACATACTGGCTTAGCGCTTTCTCTTGATTACCTTACCTTGAGTGGTGGGTAAGACGCCTGCACGTGTTCGAACACTTCTTAATCGAACACTGCAACGGAATGTCGGGTGAAATAAGGCCGGTGTCCGAAAATGTTGCAGCTATATTCGTTCTCGATTTAATACACGTTTATTAAGAATTTCATCATATGTTGTTCTATGCGATTTTACCGTTAAATTCACACCATAAGTTCACAGCGTAGAGCTTCGTTAGAAGAAGGGAAGACCTCCGCGGGTTCCATTCAAGGAGCACTTAGGAGAGACGAACCGTGGACCCCTCCATGGGTTTATTTTACACCTGTGGGGGTCCCTCCCTCTTGAGGAGCTCCTTGGTCGAGTCTACCATTACCCAGAGCTCATCTGGGGTGATGCCTCTCCACTGGGCAAGCGGAGAGTTGATGCCCCGCTTTATGGCTCGGTTCGCTGCCCTGCTTTATGGCTCGGTTCCCTGCCCCACCTTATAGCTCGGTTCCCTACCCCGCCTTATAGCTCGGTTCGCTGCTCCGCCTTATAGCTCGGTTCCCTACCCCACCTTATAGCTCGGTTCCCTGCCCCACCTTATAGCTCGGTTCCCTACCCCGCCTTATAGCTCGGTTCGCTGCCCCACCTTATAGCTCGATTCCCTACCCCGCCTTATAGCTCTGTTCGCTGCCCCGCTTTATAGCTCGGTTCCCTACCCCGCCTTATAGCTCGGTTCCCTACCCCGCCTTATAGCTCGGTTCCCTACCCCGTATATACAGCTCACCTGGAGATGGTGGCGAGGCGGGAGGCGTTGAAGGTGGACGAGGTAAGTTGAAGCCAAGAACGCTTCCAGCTGCTGCTTGCCACCTGTGGGTAAGTGTAAGTATGAGGAGGAAGCACCAAGCAAGTATGACTGTGTGGCATTTGGAAGGGATATATAAGGACTTTCAGCGCCGTAGAGAGGGGGGGGGACCTGCTGCCTGGGTAACAGCTTCTCCCCCGAATCAACCTACCCAGGCTTTACACCCTGGTGAGGCCACTCCAGACCGACAACCAGAGCGCAACTCCATAGTCTCCTGAGACTGATGGATGCCTACTACTACTAAGGACATCGAGCTGGGAATTGAAGGGGCGAAGGAATGGTGCTCAATCACTTGGACCATCAGGGATCGAACACCGACCCCCCCTCAAGAAGCATGGCCGTTATTGTACCGACCAGTCCAAGTGGATGGACCGTAAGACTACCATATTATTTTAGAGTCAGATATTTTGCTGAGGAGGCCGACATATTCTTGACGTGACTGGTAAATCTTCAGCCACATATCAATTAAAATATATATGTAATTGACCATATACTATTAGTATATATCCTGTGTAAGAAGTAATTGATTCATATCAATAAAACGTAATTAGAATAATATATATATATATATATATATATATATATATATATATATATATATATATATATATATATATATATATTATATATAAACATAATAAATATATATATAAGGTTAAGATTAATGATTCTAACACAAATCTTCTCAATATTTCTTACCTTATTCTTTACTGTCGAGGGAAGTTGAAAAAGTAACTCTCCAAAGTTCATTTTCACTATTATCACTATCACTATTTTTCAATATTATGGTCTGACGCCTAGAGATGCGATTCGCAAGGTACTCCTTACATTTTCAAAAACAAATTTTCCATACTGTGCCAAAGCTTATAGGAATAGGTCAGACATGATACAGACGTACAAGATACTAAAGGACATTGAAAAGTAGATATAGAAATGTTTTAAGTGAGGAACAGTGGAACGAGAGGTCATAACTGTAACACAGATGAGCCATAGAGATTTAGGAAGGATCTTTTCCAGGCTACGGGAGTATTAAGAGCAGATGCTCACTCGTGCAAGCACAATTGAGTACAACTAGATGAGTACACACACACACACACACACACACACACACACACACACACACACACACACACACACACACACACACACACACACAATATAATTCATCTCAGACCCTAACAACATATTCCCATAAGAGAGAGGGCACTGCGGACCTTGTGGGCACTGCAGTAGAGGATGCCGCGGGCGTCGTCGACGAGGATGTTCCTGAGGTGGTCCTGAGTGACCTTAGTGGACACGTTGAGTGACTTGCACACTCGCCTCACCTGGCGTCGGGTCCTGTCACTCCGCTCCCTCGCGCCTCCTGCCAGGACAACAATGATCACCATGGGCCCCGTTGTAATAAGATGACAAAAAAGCGATAATAATGATAAAAAGAGGCAATAATGATAAGAGAGGGATAACCCTCCCTTTCCCTCCGCCCTTCCCAGCTCCTTGTCCTCATATCCCGTCTAGGCGCTACACAGTCACACTGGGTTGGTGCTTTTTTTCCCCTCACGATTACCTTACCTTGGGGAGCATGAGGCTTAACTCTCTCCTACCCTAGTCTAACTTGAGGAAGAAGCGGGTCAAGTGAGGTTGTTAATGGGTCAAGTGCAGTTGTTAATGACAGACAACCTGAAGGGGCGTGACCCTGAAGGATGGAAGAAGAGGAGATATAATTATCCAAGGTTATCTGTATTATCTCACAAGCCGATTGATTCACTGTCCTCGTGGGACCTGAAGCCTGGATAGAGACTGACCTGGTGGGACCTGGAGCTTGGATAAACTGACCTGGTGGGACCTGGAGCTTGGATAAACTGACCTGGTGCCTGGATAGAGACTGACCTGGTGGGACCTGGAGCTTGGATAAACTGACCTGGTGGGACCTGGAGCTTGGATAAACTGACCTGATGGGACCTGGATAGAGACTGACCTGGTGGGGCCTGGAGCTGGGAGAGAGTGAGAGAGAGTGCCACCAGGATCAACAGAGACGGGCCAAACACCTTCCTCCATCTGCTCCTGGAAATACAGATGTTATGACTTAAATCATTATCTCAAGAAACATTACCAATACTGTCTCCAAAATCATCTAATGTATTTTTGGCGTCCAATTAAATGTTGTTGGTCATCATCATATTTTTCTTCGTGATACATTTATATTAATAATCTTTCTGTCAATCTCTCTATTAATCATTTTGATTTGGCTTGTTGGAGCCGGACCCAAGAAACATTCGTAAATGTATAATAAAAGGATACATCTGAATTTATATAAAATAATAATAGTCAAAGTAGCAAGAAGAACAGAGTAACTACATTGACATAGTTAACTGCTGATTTGTTATGACCTCTGATGGTTCAATGGTATCACTGAACAGCCGGTCAAGACTCACACACACACACACACACACACACACACACACACACACACACACACACACACACACACACACACACGCACACACGCTGCGCTCCCTTCTCAAAACGAAAGTGTCTCAGAAGTATTGGGTCAATCGACTTGAGAATGGTCCAGGACGTGACCGAAACGTCGTCGTCCCTTCACTTTCTAGTGTGTGGTCAACATATTGGGACACACTTTGTTGCACCTTTGGAGTATACTGCATCTGTGTGTGTGTGTGTGTACAGAGCATCGTGCTGGAATATTTCCACACAAACACACACACAGCTTTTGCTTTAGTTTCCCCTTATGTTACACACTGTCAACGTGTCGCTATTCAATTTTTGGTCAACTTCCACTCTACAATCAACACTTGTGTATGGCTGATAGTCGTACACAAGTGCTTCGCAGTATGGCACACATACACTAGTGCTTCGCAGTATGGCACACATACACTAGTGCTTCGCAGTATGGCACACATACACTAGTGCTTCGCAGTATGCACACATACACTAGTGCTTCGCAGTATGGCACACATACACTAGTGCTTCGCAGTATGGCACACATACACTAGTGCTTCGCAGTATGGCACACATACACTAGTGCTTCGCAGTATGGCACACATACACTAGTGCTTCGCAGTATGGCACACATACACTAGTGCTTCGCAGTATGGCAGACAGTTCTCCAGCCATTATCTTGGCGTCTTGAGATGAGGAGGCTGGGGAGATGACTGCTTAGAGTGGTGACGTGCTGCTACTATCAGTGTTACATGTGTGTGTGTGTATATATGTGGCATTATATGTACCCATCAACTGCATTTCTCCCCCATGCTGCTAATAACCAAACAACATAATATCATAAAATTTACAAAATGCAAGCCTGAACTTTTGTGTTTTTTTAGAAATAAATCCGAATTCTTTGGTCCATTCAGGGATAATTGTATTCTTGTCGGCATTTCTTTAGGGGCTTAAAGGAAGCAGTATTGTCTACCCAAGTGGCCCCTAGGCTGACTGACCGTCTCTGACTCAGTAACTGAGACGAGGACGTGTACTGACTTCAAGACTCCGAGGACGTGTACTTGACTGATAACTGGACACGTCTCGGACACGCCCCTACGGCTCCGTGCGTCTTGGACACGCCCTTAGGGCTCCGTGCGAAGTGTTGACATAAGCATAAAATTACGATAAAAATATCCAAGTGGTTATTGTAACCTTCAGTTCCCAAACTTCCCGCTGTGTTAGTCTATCTCGGGGCAATGCATATCATTCTTTTTTTTAGACAGGTCCCCCCCTGAAAGAAGAACACGTTAACGTGCTTCTTGAAGTGAGATCGAAGAAACACAGAAGGCTCAAAATCAGGACGTCTAGCTTACCCTACCGCCACTAGCAATTCACCGCTGCCTCCAGTTACTCACCCACGGATGCCAGAGACTCATTGCCGCCCACCAAAGACTCACCACCGACGTCAGAGACTCACCACCACCACCTCCAGCGTGCTGTACGACCCATAGCTCGCCCAGTAGACTAAGAATCTTCGCATACTTCCTGGGGATTGATAAGATTTTCCTTGTAAATTTGAGTTGAGACTTTCCTCCTCCTTCTTGTAAACACACACACACACACAAAGAGCCAGAGCTCAACCCCCGCAAGCACAATTAGGTGAGTACACACACACACATACACATACACATACACACACACATATACATTTATCAGAGATGATAAATCGTGCCTCACAGGCTTAATATAATTCCATGACCAAGCAACAAAAATTAGTCACGAAAGAGAAGCGTGGGCAGACTGCATTTTTTTGGACTGCCAGAAAGCCTTTGACACAATACCTCATAAAAGGCTGTTACAAAAAGTTGGAGCAACAGGCAGGAGTAAAAGGTAAGGTGCTCCAGTGGATAAGGGAGTATCTAAGCAACAGAAAACAGCGAGTAACTGTGAGGGGGAAGACACATCAGAATGACGAGATGTCACCAGCGGAGTCCCACAGGGCTCTGTACTTGGACCCATCCTGTTTCTAATATATGTAAACGATCTTTCAGAAGGCATAGACAAATTCCTCTCAATTTTTGCATCATCAGCAAACATTATGAGAAGAATCAAGACAGATGAAGATAGAGACTACAGGACGACCTGGACAAACTGGAGGAATGGTCTAGAAAATGGCTACTAAAGTTCAACTCAGGAAAGTGTAATGTAATGAAATTAGGCGAAGGGAACAGGAGACTGAACACAAGGTACCATCTGGGAGGTAAAATCCTGCAAGAGTCAAATAGAGTAAGATTTGGGGGTTGATATCACACCGAACCTGTCCCCAGAAGCCCACATCAAAAGAATATCATCAGCGGCATATGCTAGATTGGCAAATATAAGAACTGCCTTTAGAAACTTGTGTAAGGAATCGTTCAGGACCCTGTATACCACTCATGTCAGACCAATCCTGGAATATGCAGCTCCAACCTGGAGTCCATACCTAGCAAGACATAAGACAAAATAATGGTGGCAGAGGTATGCCACCAGACTTGTCCAGGAACTGAAAGGTATGAGTTACGAGGAAAGGCTAAGGGAACTGAACTTCACGTCCCTGGAAAACAGAAGAATAAGGAAAGACATGATAACCACCTACAAAATTCTCAAGGGAATTGACAGGGTGGACAAAGACAAACTCTTCAGCACGGATGGGACAAGAATAAGAGGACACAGGTGGAAAATTAATATCCAGATGAGCCACAGAGACGTTAGAAAGATTTTGTTCAGTGTTAGAGTAGTTAACAAGTGGAATGCATTAGGCAGTGATGTGGTGGAGGCTGACTCCATACACAGTTTCAAATGTAGATATGATAGAGCCCAGTAGGCTCAGGAATCTGTACACCAGTTGAATAACAGTCGAGAGGCGGGACCAAAGAGCCAAAACTCAACTCCCGCAAGCACAACTAGGTGAGTACAAGTAGGCGAGTACCCTCGCGCGCGCGCGCTCACACACACACACACACACACGACGTGGCAGTAGTGTGGTCAGACGTTTTTGCTTTAGGCAGGACAATGATGATTTTGAGCAGTGTGACCTCCGTCCTCACACCGCAAGCAGCTTAGTTTAGTTTAGTTCACTTATTATGCACCCCATACCCATCTTATGGGCGGTAGTGGAAAGGGTTACAGAGGCACATAATGGACTCAGGGACTGAACCCCACAATTCATTTCTTCTTCTTCTTCTTGTTGATAGTAGGTGCAGTTTGCATGAAGGGTTTGTCCTCCCGATGACTGCACCAGTAATGATGTTGTTGGACGCGTTTATGTTGAAGATGATCGGAGCTACCAAGGTGCTTGTTGCGTTGTGCTGTAGATAGAGGAACGGTGATTCTCTATCCTGTTGTTAGCCTTGTTGTTCCTCTATCGGTAGATAGAGGAACGGTGAAATGAACAATTCATTTAGCTAAGCAAGTTACAATCTTGATGAGCTAGTTACAAAATTCAATATAAGTCGTCACATCAACAATGGGTTCGAGATCGACCTCAAGTACAGGTTCTAAATTAAGCAACTGACATATGTGGAGAGCTAGTGTCACAATTTATACGTTTGTCCTGCACACCGCCCCCCATCCAGTGGGCAGCGGTGGATAGGTTACAATCACTTAGTTACTACCTACAGTTAGCAAACTGGGGATATTTGGCTAAAATTTCTGGTAACAGATAATTTTGAATGAAGCAGAACAGATAATTTGTCCTTTTTTGGGACTCTATCTAAAAAGAATAATAAATGCTAAATAGGCTCCTTCCTTTAGTTTGTAAAATTCATTTGGTAAGTCCATGCTGTTCCAGCAACGGTAAGAACGCATATTAATTTCTTACAATTTTTTATTGTTACTGTGTGAATACTTGTATATATACAGTATATGTATATATATGTATATACATGTATATATATGTATATACATGTATATACAGTATATATATGTATATATAATATATACAGCAAGTTTAACAAATAAATTTAGGAAAAGAAATAACCAAACACCACATAAAATACTGGTAAGAAAAGTACAAGTACATGGAATAAATGGCAGGATCTTCTTGAGATGATTTCGGGGCTTTTAGTGTCCCCGCGGCCCGGTCCTCGACCAGGCCTCCACCCCCAGGAAGCAGCCCGTGACAGCTGACTAACACCCAGGTACCTATTTTACTGCTATGTAACAGGGGGTATAGGGTGAAAGAAACTCTGCCCATTGTTTCTCGCCGGCGCCTGGGATCGAACCCGGGACCACAGGATCAAAAGTCCAGCATGCTGTCCGCTCGGCCGACTGGCTCCCCGACTCGAGGATACTCGAATGGATAAAATAATGGTGGAAATATAGAAATCAAAGGGTCGTCGTCTCTTCAATTTCTAGTGTGTGGTTTGGTTAACAAATCAAAGGGTCGTGCTAAACGGAAATGAATGTGTGAGAAATGTGGCGAATATCACATTTTTGTCATATACATCAAAGTTGAGAATATGACAAACCACATCACCAAATTTGTAGATGACACTAAGATTAATAGTAAAGTAGTTAATGAAATGATGCTAAATGCCTTGCAAAAAGATCAGCGTGAACTCCTTAAATGGTCGGAAGATCAACAGATGATTATTAATACCGAAAAATGCAAGATCTTGCATGTGGGGCCATAACACTGCACATCACAACTACCATAACATCTTGCAGCAGATTAATGAAGAACAACAGGACCTTGGAGTCAGAATCACTGGTCACTGAAGGTTTCACAATTGGCAGCTGCGGTAAAAAAAAAGCCAACCATATCCTAGGAATAGTTAACTTTAATTTCAGGGAAAAGAAGAAGATAGTTATTCAATTGTATAAAAATCTTTAACCCTCCACTTCAATTATTGTATCCAAGCATGGAGACCGCATCTTCAGACGGACATCTCTGCTTTGGAGAAGGTCCAACACTGGACGACAAAAGTGATTCCTGAACAAAGTCGACTCCCATACCAGGAAGGGCTGAGGGCCACAGGGCTAACAACACGGCACACCAGACATGAGTTGTTGATCCAGAGCGCTTCTTCGAGGAGTCAGATATATCACAAAGAAGGAGCAACGACTCAAGCTCAACAAGCCACAATACAGGACACAAAACATATTCTTTTTCACCCACAGGGTTATAAACCCATGGAACCGCCTACCCGCCGAGGACGTAAATGCCAAAACGCTGTTGAATTATAAAATCCAGCTTGAAAAAAAATCATTGGGACAGATGGGGTGAGAGGGGTTAAGAAGCCGCTGGCTTCCTGTCCTCGTCGAGGCCAGTGGTGTGTTAGTGGCCCTCAGGTAAATTCAGGTTAATTATAGGGATATTTGATCATGGAGCGTCAGACTGCTAGCATGAAGGAAGATAGCGGGCCAGCGCGCAAGTCCATGAGAGAGAGAGAGAGAGAGAGAGAGAGAGAGAGAGAGAGAGAGAGAGAGAGAGAGAGAGAGAGAGAGAGAGAGAGAGAGAGAGAGAGAGAGAGAGAGAGAGAGACGAGAGAGACGAGAGAGACGAGAGAGACGAGAGAGAGAGAGAGAGAGAGAGAGAGAGAGAGAGAGAGAGAGAGAGAGAGAGAGAGAGAGAGAGAGAGAGAGAGAGACGAGAGAGACGAGAGAGAGGAGAGAGACGAGAGAGAGAGAGAGAGAGAGAGAGAGAGAGAGAGAGAGAGAGAGAGAGAGAGAGAGAGAGAGAGAGAGAGAGAGAGAGAGAGAGAGAGAGAGAGCGAGAGAGAGAGAGAGAAGAGAGAGAAGAGACGAGAGAGAGAGAGAGAGAGAGAGAGAGAGAGAGAGAGAGAGAGAGAGAGAGAGAGAGAGAGAGAGAGAGAGAGAGAGAGAGAGAGAGAGAGAGAGAGAGAGAGAGAGAGAGAGAAGAGAGAGAGAGAAGAGAGAAGAGAGAGAGAGAGAGAGAGAGAGAGAGAGAGAGAGAGAGAGAGAGAGAGAGAGAGAGAGAGAGAGAGAGAGAGAGAGAGAGAGAGAGAGAGAGAGAGAGAGAGAGAGAGAGAGAGAGAGGAGAGGGAGAGAGAGAGGGAGAGAGGGGCGTGCCAGTACACCCATCACATCAGAGCCGACGTCGACTACGCCTGGGGCCAAATTCTCAAAGCAGTTATGCAAGTACTTACGAACCTGTACATCTTTCCTGAATCTTTGGTGGCTTTGTTTACAAATATTAAACAGTTAATGAGCTGCGAAGCACCAGGAGGCTGTTTATAACAATAACAACAGTTGATTGGCAAGTTTTCATGCTTGTAAACTGTTTAATAAATGTAACCAAAGTCGTCAAAGATTGAGGAAAGATGTACACGTTCGTAAGTACTTGCGTAACTACTTCGCGAATCTGGCCCCTGGAGCTGACAGCACAAGCCACAGAGAAGATAAACACAAATCTACCAACAGGAAAAACGCCTTGCTTATTGCAACTCTTGGCCTCCTCTCTGGCAGTGGTCCTCATCTTTCAGATATTACTTAAAAACTGCCGGCCTCGGCAGCTTAGTATTTCCCGGTGGCGGAGCACACTCGCCCTGCGACTCAGAGGTTTTGTCCGTCGATTAAGGCAGTGTCTGGGATGCTCCCGGACGCAGGTTCGAATCCTCGTCACGTCCCTTGTGGATTTGTTCATTTTGTCCCGTCTCAAGCCCTGACTGGCTAGAACTGACTGGGCACCAAGGTTTTAATTCTTAGCCCCCTTTTTACCCAGCAATTATTGGGGGACCCGACTGTAAACTGATTGTCTATTGGTGTTCCAGGGAACACTAGTAAGGGGGAAGGCTTAAGATGACCTATGGGAAGACTGTTTACTTGACAGTAAACACTGCCAAGGAAGCCCTAACAAGTCTTCCTCTAGCATCAGGTTCCACATTTCACTAAGGCAGAGTTGCACAATTTATCAAACTGGTGAGACACATCTGGCAAATTCTACTCAAATCTGTCCTTGATTTCGTTTATCTAAATTTCTTCCTATTGGGTTCAGGGAGCAATTTATATCCCTTCAAAATAACATTTTTAACGCAATCATAAAATGAAAACCCCGGATAAATGCTGCACAAATCCTATCATCACATATATGTGGTGTCCACAATCCTTATCCTGACCCCCTTCCAAGTGCTGTATAGTCCTAATGGCTTGGCGCTCTCTTCTGATAATTCTCTCCCCTCCTTGTACTTGCCTTGTACATATCATGCTGGACACCACATATATATATATATATATATGTGTGTGTTATGGTGTCCATACGAAGAACAACTTGAAACACTTGTCTGAGTACCAATTATGTTTATAATTGATATTACAACATTCCTAGTGTCTATGTTGCATGTTGGGTTTGCTGGTAGTCGCGCGAGGAGCACGCACACACGCACGAGGTGTATGCACGCACGAGACGCACGCACTGACGCACATCTCTCAACAATGATCACAGAACTGTGACTCGACACATCACAAGTAAGGACCCAGATTAACAGATTAAGGACTTGGCCGAAACGCGTTGCGAGCTGTACAAGAATGTAAGAACTTTTGTATATATATATATATATATATATATATATATATATATATATATATATATATATATATATATATATTAGTATATTTTGGTAGCAGTCTTTCCTGTAGACATATATTATTAAATATGACCGAAAAAGTAAGATTAATAATTCTAACACGAATTTTCTCAATCTTTCGTACATTTCTTTTCACTGTTGGAGGTAATTCAAAAATCAATTCTTCAAAATTCATTTTTATTTCTAGTCTGACGCGACACGAGCGCGTTTCGTAAAACTTATTACATTTTCAAAGACTTTAGTTTACAAATACACAACTGAATAGAACTTACGCATCTCCGATTCTACCCACCTCAAGACTCCGCTCCAATATAGAAGCATCAAGAAATATGGACCAATAGGTTTTCTACAATCACTTCCATTTCAATACCCATTGTTTCGTGTTCTGTCTTGTGTTGATGAAATTAATACCATATTAATGCCACCTCACCCCATCCACCTCACTCAAATGTAGATATAAACAAAAATCGGAGATGTGTAAGTTCTATTCAGTTGTGTATTTGTAAACTAAAGTCTTTGAAAATGTAATAAGTTTTACGAAACGCGCTCGTGTCGCGTCAGGCTAGAAATAAAAATGAATTTTGGAGAATTGATTTTTGAATTACCTCCAACAGTGAAAAGAAATGTACGAAAGATTGAGAAAATTCGTGTTAGAATTATTAATCTTACTTTTTCGGTCATATTTAATAATATATATATATATATATATGGTTGGGTGGGTGGGAGCGAATGTATATAAAACACCTGTCATATAATGAGCAAAACATTCACGACTCGGCATAACATTATTCTCCCTATTTTATATATAAAAAATTAGGACATTACAGTTATTATTTTTATTGGTCAAACTAATTGGAGTTGTAGCGAGTATATTATGTAAACAATATACTCGCTCCAAACTCATTAGCTTTAATGAGAGTAGCAAAACTATCATTAACACTGATGACGAAACACATACCTCTTCCTTAATTAAAGTAAACATCACTCAGTGTATTCAGTTCCAACCGACCCCAAGACGCTTCAGCTTCAACACAGTAGACGGCAAACTACGACCGCATGGAGCTACCACACTCTTGGCCTCATCGAGTTTCCACACTCACGATCCCGCATCTAGCCGCCACGCTCTCCCGCATGGAGCTCCACGACTCCGGCCGTACTCAGCTCCAAGCTTCGTCTCACCGTCTACGACACTTCCAACAACCGACTGCTATAAGCAAGACTACTAAAAATAAAAATGAAAACCCACTAAACACTGTATCTAATCCACCCAACAACGTAACAGAATCGTACGTTACAGTTATATAAATAACAATAATTATTGTACACTATTAATATTAAATAATAATAATTATGCACTGTCGTGGGCTCATAGGAGGACCAGCGATTGGTGTAACAGCCTTCGTATCCCAGTCAATGGAAACCCAAATGGGCACCAGGAACTTATAAAGTAGTCACCGCTTAAACAAATTTTCTATGACATTCATTTTCTTCGGTCAAGTTGTGGGAGACTGAAGTAATCTCCGCTAACAAATACTTAATCATAACCTCAGGTAAATTCAGGCTATCGTTTGTCGGAGACAGACAGCCTGTGTATATATAAATACGTTAGGCTTATATGGAGGTCCCCCTAAGATCGAACAATTGACCCTCCCCAGGATGCAACCCTCCTAGAGTTGCCTAACTCCCGGGTACTTATATTGTACCATATAAGTATATACATACATATATATATATATATATATATATATATATATATATATATATATATATATACATATATACATTATATATATATATATATATATGTATATATGTATATATATATATATATAAAAGAGAGAGAGAGAGAGAGAGAGAGAGAGAGAGAGAGAGAGAGAGAGAGAGAGAGAGAGAGAGAGAGAGAGAGAGAGAGAGAGAGAGAGAGAGAGAGAGAGAGAGAGAGAGAGAGACTATCTTGCTCTCTGATGAAGGCGAACTAAACCGAAAACGCATTCAGTATTCTCTATTTATTACTTATTTATTTATTACTTATTTATTTATTACTTATTTATTACTTATTATTTATTATTATTCTCTATTTTATCCATGACTGACGAAGAGAACAGAGTTCTGGTCAGCATGGTAAAGCCAATAATGATCTTCCACAGGTCGTAGTAACATTCTTATTGACAAGATGAGTATACAATTGTGCCTAATTGGAGAGCTATAATGCCTCCCTACACCGCATGGGGTCGGCCACGCCACGAGCATTATCCAGGGAGGATGGAAGAGCATACTAGTTGGCATTATAAATGAATGCACGCGTCAGAACGTGTATAGAACGTGTACAGAACGTTGTGTTTACAAATTCGTGTATTGAAAGTGTACAAGATCCGATATATAGATTTCATCCGGTCATAATCAACAAGTGTTCAAATCTTGGATTTAGACCTATTGTGGTATGAATGAGCCTGTCCTGTGTGGCAGTGAATATGAGCATTATCCTCACTGTCCTGTGTGGCAGTGAATATGACCACCATACTCACTGTCCTGTGTGGCAGTGAATATAAGCACTATCCTCACTGTCCTGTGTTAGTGGTGAACCACAGTGAACCAACTGACGGTACACAGCGGGTACACTCCCCCCTCCTCCCCCTCCAAAAAAGCTCAAACATGCATTAGTGCGCCAAGTGGCCATATTTTGAAATAAATGGCGCCTAATTTGACCAGATTAGCCTCGGCACGCCAAGATTTCCCTAACCCCAGTAATTAGCCCGGATCATTAGGCTAATTACACAGTAGTAGCGAGTGTGTGTACTACCCATGACCAAACAAGCGTAGCACGGATGTAAGCGCCAGGTCCTCTTAACTAGATAGTATATCTTAGCCACAGCTGCACGCACCCACAGTCTATACTGGACCCTAATGGGTGAATGGGCATTGAACGCTGCGAGTTGTAAACAACATTCTGGTTTACATCATTCTAAGACGAGGCGATGTTTATCCCGACACACACACACGCGCGCGGCTACACTACTAATACACAAGTTTTAACTAGTATTATTATTACTATGCATACACATTCGTGTGTGTGTGTGTGTGTGTGTGTACTCGCCCAGTTGTGCTTGCGGGGGGTTGAGCTCTGGCTCTTTGGTCCCGCCTCTCAACTGTCAACTAATGTACAGGTTCCTGAGCCTACTGGGCTCTATCATATCTACATTTGAATCTGTGTATGGAGTCAGCCTCCACCACATCACTTCCTAATTCATCCTATCTGTTAACTACTCTGACAAAATTCTTTCTAACGTCCCTGTGTGTGTGTGTGTGTGTGTGTGTGTGTGTGTGTGTGTGTGTGTGTGTGTGTGTGTGTGTGTGTGTGTGTGTGTGTTTTGCGACAATACAGCATTAGAGAGTAGAATATGATATTCGTTTCACCGTGTACGTTCACTCCAACAGTCGTACGTACTGCTGGTGTTTGGGGCAAGGTTACTGCCCTCTGCCCTCAGAGTGGCACTCAGCCTTCACGCTGCCTTGGACAGTGACACTGGACGACAGTGATGAACAGTATCTTAGACATTGATTAGAAGAGATGGGGAGCTTGCTGACCGGGTGAGATAAAGGAAGCCTTCGGCTGTGGAAGAAAATGGCAAGCGCCATCACGGTGACTTAAGAAATGAACACCAACTTTCCAGTAACTAGAATCCAGAACACCCTGAATGACTGGGATCCAGAACCCACTGAATGACTGGGATCCAGAACCCACTGAATGACTGGGATCCAGAACCCACTGAATGACTGGGATCCAGAACCCACTGAATGACTGGGATCCAGAACACACTGAATGACTGGGATCCAGAACCCACTGAATGACTGGGGTCCAGAACCCACTGAATGACTGGGATCCAGAACCCACTGAATGACTGGGATCCAGAACACACTGAATGACTGGGATCCAGAACACTGAATGACTGGGGGTCCAGATTACATTGTTAGTTCTGGAAGAATCTTTCCAGTGCCCAGCTGACTAAGTCTATCAACAGTGGCTTCAACCTGCCCCAAATAATTCAGACAATCACAAAACACACTAGATGATTTTAAAGGGAAGCATTAGAATAAACATTAAAAAAACAAATGATAATTATAGATCATGTTATGTAGAGTGTCTCTACGCCACAATTTTAGAGAAATACTGAAAACATATTGACATAAAATATTCAATTTATGTGAAGCCACTTCACAATGGTGGCAATGACCCACACACCTTTCTTACAATAGTGCCAGTGACCCCACCCACTCATAAGAGAGAGAGAGAGAGAGAGAGAGAGAGGAGAGAGAGAGAGAGAGAGAGAGAGAGAGAGAGAGAGAGAGAGAGAGAGAGAGAGAGAGAGAGAGAGAGAGAGAGAGAGAGAGAGAGAGAGAATGAATTCCCACCAGGGTAACCCACCACATTCTCACCTCTCCCATCCCCAGTGGTGGTCGCTGGCCCCAACACTCACTCCGCCTGGCTGGAGGTCTCTCGTTACACCACACACCTGGTGAAGGGATCTTAAAAGCATAGCGGGATGCCCACTTACGTGATAATTCCCCCCACCACGCCACCCCACCCCACACCATCACAGGCCCTGGGGATGGAGTCACAACCACACACAGATTGCACCACCACACCACCACCACCAGACGTCTGCCAGGTGAATAGCGAGCTAATGAGATCGTGGGAAGGTTTTTGCCGATTGGTAAGTCAGACAAGGTGTCGCAGCCGTAACAAAAACACTACAGGGCCACGATAGTGTAAATAGGTCCATTTGTAACCTGTTTCTGGCCCTGGAATATCAGGTTAAGAGTTTTTGACGATATTTTGGCTAACATAATCAAGAGAAGAGTACTGGGAGCTTATGATGAAGCATTCTGGGGGTATACAGCAACTAGAATAAGCTTGGAATATTTCGGTGCCGTCACTGTTGCTATCACACGCTGTGCTCTGCTGTGCCACGCTGTCCTAGGCTGTGCCACGCGGTCCTTTGCTGTGCCACGCCGGGAAAAAAAAATATGCAACTTGTTAGCTTGGTCGTCGTCGGCGACGTATTGGACGTCGTGTCCTCTCTGATACTTTGGTGAAACTGCCTTAATTCTTAATGCCAAATTACAGAAAGACAAAAGTGTTTAGTCTCCAGACACAATTCTGTCATGTTAGCGACTCGAATCATCCGTTAGATGGGTCTTCTTAACTAATATTTCCTGCCTCTAATCTTCTCAACCGCCGTCTTATCGAATCGGCTCCCATACACAACGTGCCCAACATTAACCTTAGTCCCGGCACCTGTGGAGATGTCTTGTACCTTTCTCAGTACTCGGGGGTAAATGTTCTAAACGTTAACACACGTGATCTCACGGGAGACATTTCCCGTCACGCAGGGTGCAGTCCCACCTCCACAGATCTCCAGTATCAGCTCTTGATACTGGTAATGGCTCAAAAGAGCCACCACTTACGGGCTATTCATGCCCGTGCCACCTTTTGGGTGGCTTATTCTTCATCAATCATCAATCAATCACACGTGATCTGTCTTTGCTCTAGCCTCTCAGGCTCTCTGAAGAAATCTTGTTCAGTTTTGCTTTTTTGTGTCTCTTGTCGTTATCTCTTTTGTCTCTATTTCACCGCTTTTCTCTTCATCATCATGAGGTCTTCTGGAGTTTTCTGTATACCTATTAAGTGCTATGGTTTACTTATGGTTTACTTTACTATGGTTTGCTTCTCACCTTTCATCATTCTTCTTACCTTGTATATGTACGTTTCCTCCAACTCACTTGGTTTACGGGCTATTCATGCCCGTGCAACCTCTTGGCACGCGCATGAATAGCCCGTGCCAAGCCTCTTCCTGTGGCTTAATCTTCTTAATTAAGCCTCTTCTTGTGTGGCTTAATCTTCAATCAATCAATCAATTTGGTGTCTAACAGCCACGTTGTTGAGACTAACCGTCTGCGTCCTCTCTAAACCTATTGGGCATGAGGCTCAGAGATCGTCAATATCATGATGCTTTAAGTTACACCAATACGTCGCATTTTTCAACGGATTATGGTACCTGTTGTTAAGACAAATTTGCTGCATTAGGTTCTCGCTTATAGTGTGGTCGCTGGTCGCTGCCGAGTGAAGCCGTTTGGGCTGGAATTTGGAAATCAATCCTCAAGCTCTGAGTAAATATATAGACGCCGGGGGAAATGAACATATATATATATATATAT